AGACAAATTCCTGTTACTCTATTGATGTCTAATTGACAACAACTGGTTAATAGGCAGACATGTAGTTCTGCTGTGAAAAATACCTGCAAAATGCTGCAGTTGTTTATTACATTATTGTCCACTGTTTTGCTTTTCAAATGTGTAAAACTTTTTTTTAATCTATCAGTCTTGCAAGCTCAGCCTAAAATCTGGAGTCAAAGCTATATTCTTCTGTTCACACCAGCTCTGCAAGCCAGATAATGCTCTAAAATGTGATAGGTTCACATTGTCTTCACTGGGTTTTGGGGTGTAGCTAATTGAAATTTAGTAAAAGGTTCTGTTAATGATGCAGCACAGAAATAGCATTCAGCTCGTGCTCTTGGCTGTGTCAGCTCTGCAGCGCTAGCATGAACAAAAAGCAGTAAAAACTTGCTTGTCACTAAAGTCAGCAGCTATGAGAATGAATACAAACAGGGAACAGATCTGCTGAGTAAGAAGATGCTTGTTACATACATAGTATCTCTGAGACTAGAGCTGCTCTCTGAATGGGCAGAGCTTCTATTTCACAGGGTAGAAGCTTCATTTTCAAAAGTATGTTCACAATTAAACAAGTACAGATTCTGTTTGCATGTTCTTATAGGCACGTTACACGTCAGGGCTGGATCTGTGTGTCTTGGAATCTGTCAACATTCAGATGGAGAACATGTACGATGTGTGTGTAGAAACTTTGCACTTTTACAAATTTGTCTCAGAGAGGTTTGCCTAGTTTAGGAAGTCAATCACACATCTGGAAAGAAATCACAAGTTAAGAGGAACTTGAAATCTCCAGTGCTAACTACAATCTAAATTGTAGTTACTGAGAAGGGTGTAAAATATATCCAGGCTTGTGGGCTAAATGAGGGACATGGGGCCTGTCTCTGAGTCAAACCAGGTCTGCAGACAAGCCCCATGCACTAGAGAAAGCATACAGGGCTGGCCCAGTGCTGGCATCTCACTCAGTGCATGCCCTGGACCATCCCTGCATGCTGTGTGCAGCTTGGGTCTTGCATGTGGGGCCAGCCTTGGGCCTGATCCAGCCCAGCCCAGAACCAGCATGGAGATTGGCCTCCTGTGCCTTATGCAGCACGTACGCCTGTTCCAGCCCCACACACATCATACAGTGTGCAGGGCAAGGGCCAGTGTGTGCCACATGGTGCATGAGGTTAGTCTGAGACCCACAGGCTGGATCATATGTTTTCATGGACTGGATCCAGCCCACAGGCCATATCTTTGACACTCCTGGCTTCTTCCACATCTTCCATACAGGCTGTTAATAAAGTACAGATATGATAGCAAGTTTCTCAAATTATATGCTCATAGTTAAAGTTGCCATTCAACAAGTTGCAAGAGTCATACTCAAATATCAATAATAAGCTTAATTCCGCCTTGATAGAGGCAACAAAAGGGACATTTACTTTGGAGGTGAAGAACCATTGTTACACTAAATGGTTGTTTGGAAGTGGTTTTAATGATACTATAAGAATTGGCTTGTATTAAACTTACACCAAATTGCACCACATTATAGATTAATTTCCATGCACATGTCCAAAACACTGTCTGGACACAGGGGGGAAATTATTTTCAAAGTAACAAAAGCTTTGTCTCTTTGTGTGGTTAGCAGTATGACACCCTGCTCCCTGCCAGTGGCTCAACTGTTCCAGCTCTCTAGAATGCTTGTCATGCCCTAGTGGTGAGTATTAGGAAATACCTTCCTGTCAGTTTGTTCTGTGGGAATCTTCCCCTGGCTATACTTTATTTAGATAATCTGTAAAGCGCATATATCTACCCTACCTCCTGCACAACTTCAAACTAAAACAGCCAATTACCCATGCTTCCTTCATTACCAGGCTCTTCATTACCCACTAAAACCTTTTGGAAACTGTATTATTTGGAAACTGCCCTTCCCCACTGCATTATTTCTGAGCTCCAAAAGACCCAAAGTTAGGCTGTCAGTCTTTGGGGAGCCAAAAGAGACTTGTGAGCTAGAGCAGAAGGAAGGGGAGGCTGAAAGCTTAACTGAGTGTGTGAAGGGGTCCAGTGCATCTTCTATAGTTTGACAGGGGTCCCTCCTCCCTGCAGAGTTCATGATGTCCACAGGAAAGGGGATGGGGGGCAGGTGCAATCTAGGAGGAATTGTTCCCTTGCTGTGGATTTCCTGAAGGCTGCAGGAAGCTCGGAGCCTCCTGCAAGTCTCAGGATGCTCAGCAGGTTTCTATCATCCCCTCTGCTCAAAACTCATGGTGGAAAAAATCTCCTTTAACTAGGAATAACCCCCCTGGCAATTGCTTTAATTTTGATATCCTATTTCTGAAAGTAAAAGAGCCTTTTATTTTATTTTTTAATAAAAGCATTGGTTTTCAGTAGCCCTTTCATGGCCCATACTAAGCTTGCCCATCAGTTTTCCATAATGATATTCCAAATGAAGTAAATAACTTGGGAAATTAAATTTTTATCAATTTATCTGGGCACCACCTCTGCTCAAATAGTCTGTTAAACTAGGCCTATTTTTAGTCTTCTACACAGGGAGGGCTGAGGCAGCAAAAATTGACATGGCAGGTTGACGCAAACATGCAGCAATCCCTTGTTTGATTAATTTTGTATTTTGTAGAGCTTGCTTCCACCGCCCCAGGCCAATCCTACCAAGTTTGAAGCTATGTCATTTTTGTGATTTTAAAAGGCAGCATTGAGCGTATTATAGCAACTCATTTGAAGTTGAAACTTTGGACTTGCTACTCTGCAAAAGTGTTCAATTGTGAAGAAAGGCTTGAACTATTTTCAAAACTCATTTGTAGTATCTCCTTTATTTTTGCTTTTTTTGGATAGCTTGAGGGCTTCACCCCTCCAAAGGGGGAT